CTGCCCGCTCCCGGCAGCCTCGTCCCCCGCCCCCACTGCTAGTGGGGGCCAATGCTCTAGGGAATCCCAGCAAGGGGAGTGGGACGCGGCACCAGGTGCCACTTGGGGGCCCTCCTAGTGCTACCCCACCCCCAGTTTACCTCCCAGGGTCACTCAGTCTGAGTTAGTGAAGACTACCCAGCCTGGGGCGAGGAGGGCGGTTAGGACTCTGAGGTTGTGGCCCTGTCGGCGGGGATCTATGCGTTTTCTGAAAACTTGGAGTAAAGAGGACCCTCCCCACCACTGGGCCTTGACCTTCCAGGGGACTTATTTATTCTACAACTCCGAGGGGCTTGAGGGGCGCAAGTCAAGCAACAGCCTCCCCACCTCCAACCGCTTCCACCACGTACAGGAATAGTTTTAACCTTTGAGGCCCGGGGGACCCTAATCCTGGCCCCGTGCTCTTCGGGCTTCTCAGGGAGGGGTGAGGAGTGCGAGTGGATGGGGCACTGCTGCAGGGGTGCTGGCCGAGAGGGGAGGGAACTTCAGCAGTTTCTGACCCTCTGGCTTCCTCCCTGTGCACGGGAGGGAGGACTGGCGGTGCCTGTCAGGGACAGAGGCCCCTCCAGGTCCTTGAGGCCACCCCCCCTGGGATCCTTTGGCTTGTCACTAGGAATAAATAGCCCCTGGGTCTGGAAGGAGGGGGAGAAAGGGAGGGAGGGAGGGAGGAGGCTCTACTGTGCTGTTTGCAAAAACAAGACAACAAACCAGCCTGGAAATAACCTCAGCTTCTAAAGTGAAGGCTCAGGTGTCCTGGAGGCTGCCCTACACTTGGCAGGCCTGGTCTAACCAACTTCTCACAGCAGGGCCAGGACTCCTGAGGACCCTCCCACCCACCTCCTCTCTGCACCCTGTGCCTGAATTCCTGGGGTGCTGAAGTCAGCCATGTGGGATCCAGCCTCCTTAACCACCCTCCTACCAGCTACCTTTCTTTCCCACTCTAGTCCCTTTTAAAGTTGTTTGTATTTTATTTTTTGCTGTAGAGCACCTGCACTCACCAGAGACAGACAGAGGGAAAGTGAGAAATCATCCCTGTGGGAAATGGCCACACCCTAGCCCCTTCTCCCCTATTCTCTTGGGATTTGGGACATGCACGCACATGCACCTGGTGTTATTTCTCAAGCTGCTTTGTCCAGGACTCAGATAGCACAGTGGGCCATGTGGAATCCAGCTTAACCACCATGCCGCCTGCTGACCCCAGGCTTTCTTTCGACATTGAAGAGTAGTTTCTTTATTAGCCTTGCGGCCTAAACTGTGAGAGCCGTGAGGGTTCCAGCGCGTTCACCAGTGCATTCCCGGGAGTCCCTCTGAGGTCTGGTGCACAGTGGTATCTGATGAATGAATGGCAGGAGTGCTTCAGATTGCACCCCTCACCCCAATTTGGACCACAGGCACTTGCTGTCAGGAGTCCAGGAAGTAGCCAGCCCAGGCGTGGGCCCTTTGTCTGGTATAGAGGACTCCCAGCTCTGGGGAGGACAGGAAGACTACTCTGCCTGGTTGGAGTAGACAGTGAGAGAGGTCTGCTCTGGAATACAGAAAGGGAGGGGTTATGAGTTCTTTACTCAGAGCTTCAAATCTCTGCTGAATACTCTTTTTTTTTTTTTTGAGAGGTTTTTGCTATAGGGCGAGATGCTCGCCAGAAAGACAGAGAGGGACAGAGAGACAGAAAGTGAGAAACAAACCCCCCCCCCAGGGTGATGGCCACGCCACAATCCCTTCTCCTCCATTCTCCTCTTGGGATCTTGGGCTCGCACGCACACACACCCGGCGTGAGTTTAAACCACTGGGTCTGGGATGAGAACCGCAGTCAACTACATTGGAGTCCAGCGACATAGCCCTTACGCTAACTGCTGGTCCCAATACTCTTTTTTTCCTTTTTAAGAATTATTTATTTAGGATTAGCAGATGGAGTAATGGTTATGTCTCTGGACTTTCATGTAGTTGACTGCAGTTCAAGTCTTGGACCCAGTGGCTTAAATGCATGTCAGGTGCATGTGTGTGTGCCCAAAATCTCTAGAAGAGGATGGAGGAGAAGGGGTTGCGGTGTGGCCTTCTCCCCTGGAGGGTAATTTCTCAGTTTCTGTCTCTCTGTCTCTCCGGAGAGTGCATATGCCCTAGAGCAAAAAAAAAAATCTCTAAAAAAAGAATTATTTATTTAATTTTATTTATTACTATTATTATTTTTAAATTTGATGAAAGAGAGACAGAAAGTGAGAGGGGGAGGGACCAGCAATTGGCGTAATGGCTATGTCCTTGGACTCCCATGAGGTTGATCATGGTTAGAGTCCCGGACCTGGTGGCTTAAACTCACGCCGGGCGCGTGTGCGTGCGTGCCCAAAATCCTTAGAGGAGAATGGAGGAGAAGGGACTGCGGCGTGGCCATCCCTCCTGGGGGGTGATTTCTTGCTTTCTGTGTCTCTGTCTCTC